AGACATCTTCAGAATGAATAACATTATTCTAATTGTTCCAGTGTGTTCATTAGTTCATTCATTACCTGAATGTTTTTTTCAACATTTCAGCTTTCATAGAACTACCATGCTTTAACTAGCCATTAACATAGGTACTACAGTATAGAAAGATGGGCTGAAAGTAAGACATTGCAGTCATTTGTAAGTTTTTCCCAGTTTCAGAATTGTCAGAATGCATGTTTCAGGTGACAAGAACCCAAGTTACTTGGGGTTCAATCAAAGATGGATTTCTGATTGGCCTAACATCAATAGAAGTCATCAGTAAAACTGTCTCTAATGTCAGGAGTGTCATGGCGAGGAACGCTGGTGTATTTATGAAACGGACCCAAAAGCAGACACAGGAGAAATGAACTAAGGTTTAATAAAAAGTGAGCCTTTATTGTGGCTGATAACATAAAGAGGCAACAAGGCCAAACAAGGGAAAACCTAAACTGAAACCTCCACTGGAATAAACTAAGATTAACAATGAAAACTGTGACAACAAAATGAGCAAGAACCTAGATGTGAAACATGAACATGGAACGGTTTGGGATAAGGGGGGTTGTACTGCACTGGGTGAAAAATGATTTAAGTGACAGGAAGCAATTTGTGAAGCTGGGTGTCCATTCCTCATCATGCTTAGACATTGCTTGTGGTGTTCCACAAGGCTCTGTACTGGGTCCAAAATTATTTATTATTTATATAAATGATATTTGTAAGGCATCTGATATATTAAAATTAGTATTATGTGCAGATGAAATAAAAAAATTTTGTTCTGGGGGGAATCTAAAGGAGCTGCTGGATACAATTACTTCAGAAATGAAAAAATGGTTTAACAGGAACAAACTATCGCTAAATCTAAGTAAAACTAAAATAATCTTTTTTGGGAATTCCCTTAGAAGTGCACAGGTGCAGATTCATATAGATCATGTGGAAATTGAAAGAGTACTTGAACATACGTTTCTTGGTGTGATTATAGATGATAAATTAAACTCGAAGTCTCATATAAATCGTATACATAACAAAATTTCAAGAAGTGTTTCAATCTTGAGTAAAGTAACACACATTCTGGACCACAAATCACTCCACATTCTCTATTGTTCGCTGATTGCACCGTATTTGCATTAGTGTGCAGAGGTTTGGGGCAATACTTACAAATGTTTGCTAACATCAATGTTTATATTACAAAAAAGGGCCATAAGGATAATCCATAAAACTGGTTACAGAGATCATACAAATCCACTACAATTTGAGGGAGGAATTAAATTTAAAACATCCTCGTATCCGTACAACATTAAAAAGTTTTTGCATCTCTGTGTGTGGAGTGAAGCTGACTAAGTAAAGATATGAAGCAATGTCCAAGCATGGCGCAGTTTAAAAAGCCGTTTAAGGATTTGGGTTTTGCAGGGCACAGAAACGAGGTAGAGATTTGATAGGGTGTCCTTGTCCAATACTTTCATGTGTGTGCAGGTGCACGGGCATGTTGGTATGGGTATATATATCTGTAGGTTGTGTATCCTTTGAGGTGTTACTGGGGTTATTGAAAATATGTATATATGTGTATTTGTATATATGTATGTATGGATAGATAGAAAGATATATGTATAAAATAAATAAATAAAAATACACGTAACATATAACGTAATTGCAAGGAGGTATTTCTGTAGTCTATTGATTACTAGATAGTGGAAAAGGGGTGGGATTAAATAAGCTTATGCTTCTTCCTGCTCCTTTTTGAACATGAAACTTATATATAGCTCATCGTGGACTACAGGAGGAATGCTGACCCACATCCACCCATCCACATTAAGGGGACGGCTGTGGAGCGTGTGAGCAGCTTCAAGTTCCTGGGAGTCCACATCTCCGAGGATCTCACCTGGACGACCAAATGCTCCAAGCTGGTCAAGAAGGCTCACCAGCGCCTCTTCTTCTTGAGGACTCTGAGGAAGAACCACCTGTCCTCAGACATCCTGGTGAACTTCTATCGCTGCACCATCGAGAGCATCCTGACCAACTGTATAACAGTCTGGTACGGGAACTGCTCTGCCTCGGACCGGAAGGCGTTGCAGAGGGTCGTGAAAACTGCCCAGCGCATCGCCGGAGCACCACTTCCTGCCATAAAAGACATCTACAGGAAGCGGTGTCTGAAAAGGGCTGGGAAAATCATCAAAGACCCCAGTCACCCATCACATGGACTCTTCACCCTCCTGCCCTCTGGGAGGCGTCACAGGAGCCTCCGGACTAAGACCACCAGGTACCGGAACAGCTTCTTCCCCACAGCTGTCAGACTCCTGAACTCTGCCTCCTGACATCTGACCCACGTTAAACTCATGGACTGAACATACACACACCCACAATGGACAACTGTACCCTCAAACACACAATAATAACATGGACTGAACCACCACTCACAACCACTAGCACTTTATATAGCCTCTGTAGAAACTATCTACACCCTCACTTATCTTAACTGCACTACTGTATAGCTCTGTGTAAATAATCATTCTGTACATTCGATAATCTTTAATCCTACAACTGTTTACAACTTGCATAGTTCCCATTTCTGTATAGCTGTATATCTCAGATTCTGTAAAGTTATTTATTTCATATTCTGTATAGTTTTTCATATTTATATCCTGTTCATAGCCTGTACATAGCTTGTACTCACTACAGCCTGTACATACTTATAGTTATAGAATATTCACAACATACTTCATACCGTGTACATTATAACATACCATAATAGACCCATTTCTGTAATATACTCACATATCTATATTATTGCTAATATATATTGTAATATATCTATATCACTAAAGCACTTCTGGATGGATGCAAACTGCATTTCGTTGCCCTGTACCTGTGCATGTGCAATGACAATAAAGTTGAATTCTATTCTATTCTATTTGTAGTTGTGTTTGCTCGTTTTCCTTTTGCTTTGCTTTGTTTGTTTGTCTCTTTTTAATTCTATGTTGTTGTACTTTTTCAACATGTTCAAAATAAAGATTCAATCAATCAATCAACATAAGCATGAGCAGTAGCAAAAAACCTGACGAGACTTGACATGACAACAACAGAGGACCCGGCAAAGAACAGAAGGAGGACTTAAATACACAGAAGGGTAATAAGGGAAGTGGACATGAGGGGGAAAGTAAAACTAAGCACCGTGAACATAGAAACAAGAGACGTTCAAAATGAAACAGGAAACATGGAAAAACATGAACTGGGACAAGCAAGCTTGACACAAGAGACCGAGGGAGCGAGAGAGGGACACAAGGGAATGCTACATTGACGGGGAAGCATAGAAAAAACATAAACCAGACTAAAACTCGACCAAGACAAACTAATAATAATACTAGAACTAAACATTATCTCATAAGACATCAACAATACAGAATAACACAAAAAGCTGGCACTCAGCCTCTGATAAGGAGTCGGGAGAAAAGGTTTTACGTCGTGTCCTAAAAGCAGCAGTACTCTCAGTCACCCTGAAAATCTTCTCCAGTCAGAAGCTGAGACTTACAGTGTCCACTTATGCTGACCACTTTAACTGGTTTCGTAATATGAAGGTTGCAATGCATGCAGGGATTTGGTAATTACATAAAATGGTAAACTGTAAATGAGAATTTAAGGATTTTGTCACTCAGTAATTTTTATCATTTTACTGTATTTCTAAAAACACTGAGGTTTGAATTGTTGGTTGCACAAAATGAACACCAGTAAGTAATGGTTTCTTTGGAGTCTGCTTTTTTCACCATGTTCTGTATTTTTAGAAACAAGCAGTCATTAGAGAAATGGTGATGGTAGTCTGAATAATTCATGTGGAAAATGATCCCCTGTTTGCAGCTGGATACCAACTGGCTCAAAAGCAACAACATCAACAACAGTAAAGTCCTGCTTTTCTATTAATGTACGAGCCATAAGAACCTAATGATAGTATGTGTTACAGACAATTACAGAGCCACAGCATATGTTTACTTTAATTATTTTAAGTGCATTTTCCAGATTCTAGCCATTTGCAAATACTTTCTCTCCCACACGTCACTCAGAAGCCAAACGACTGGAATAGTTAACATGAACTAAGCTTGCATGCGGTCTTGCTGCTCCCTTTTCCTTGTCAGAGCATCGAGTATGTTTGAGACAGAGCAGAAAAACATGGAGCTTTAGTATGACCTTAATCTGCTTGTGTGTGTCCCCCAAACGCACACACATACAACCCAAGCCCTGTCCTTCTCTTGTTTCTCAGTAGCCAGCAAGTGATTTGTCACTGCTGTCACTGAATAGTTAACAAATAAACTAATTTAAACAGATAAATGTTTAGTTTTATACACGTACATCCAAACCAAATCTCTTTTTTCATAATCAGAGGCTGCCTCTGGGTTCACTTCGGCACAGATCCAAGCAGGGACCAGGCTGACCAGCAGAGTTTACTTTACCACTTTGCACAGGCCTACACTACAGAAATCTAAAGTCTGTGTTCTTCTGGAGCTTACCTGGCAAGGCAAAGCACACGAATTCTCAAACCCCAGTTCAGGAAAACTTCACTCAGAGATTCTGCGTGTGTCAGCTGGGTCCAGCTCACTACTTAAAGCAGGGGTGTCCAACTCCAGGCCTCGAGACCGGTGTCCTGTAGGTTTTAGAGGCCTGGAGTTGGACACCCCTACTTTAAAGGGAAAATTGATTAGACTGGGAGCACATGTGCTCCCCATCTCTTCTCCTGAAGCTGAGCCAAAATCTACAACCCTCTGCTGCAAGATGTTATAGTTATCTCCAATAAATGACCATGTACAACTGGAAATTGAATGTAATTGTGTGATTCATTTAAAAACACCTGTTAGATCGTCTCTCTGATCGGGATTAAAGATGTTTTTAAATCCTTCTGCAGCAACCATCACTACCAGATTCTATTCATATATCTTGTATTGTATTTTATGCATTGTGTTTTTTCCCCATCATCATTAATCCCATTTTTTTCTCCACAGCTGAGACCCAGGTCTGCTTCAGGTACTACCATGGTGTCACTGGGGCACTGAGGGCAACCACACCCAGTGTAATCATCAAGAAGGGCTCAGCGCCTGTGAGTCTCTCATCACTTTATCTCCTTATTGTGACCCATGCAGCTTTGTGGAGATTCTCACTCAGTGTCTCGTGGCTCGCTGGGAATGACAGTTCGGTTTATTCATTAGCGCTTACTTCCATCGGTTAGGTCAGTCATTCAAGTTTTAAGAGAAGAGACAAGCTGCTCTTAAAATAAGTTAGCTGCAGTTGCACCTATGCTGAATGAACTTGATCCGCTGAGTACACTTGCATCTGACATGTCTTAAACAGACTGCTTTTACAGTTAAACCCCAAACAGAGGTTAAACAGCACAGAGTTGATTTGTCCCTTTAACACTTAGCAAATACGGAGAGATGCTTATTGGTATAGACCTTATCGCAGTACCCAGACTTTAGTGTCATGGGAAGGTCATGGTGATAGAAGGGTGTTATAGACAAGCAACACAGTAATTATTAAAGACAGATTTTAGCCTTGCAGTGTCCACCAGTTGAGCTTTTTAGGGTTAAAGGCAAGGGCTAGGGTTAAACTCAAATTACTCCTTTACATGAAGTTTTCACCTATCCAACTGGAAATTGTTTGACAGAAGAACAGTGAGGCCAAAATGCACGTAGGAGACTTAATTTGAAAGCTGTCGTTGTCTAGTTCCTGAAGCTTATTTACCATGAAGCTAATGCTAACCAAGCCTCTTAAATGGGAGAGGGGAGACAGTGTCACTGTCGAGGGCTGGAAGCAAGCCGACACAGCTCATACTTTACAACTTGAAGGTTATAACATTCTCATATTACTGCCAAAAGTATTTTCCCATTATGAACAAAATGTTTGAAATGATAGTTGAAAGAGAGTCCTTCAAACTATTTGAGTTTGTAACCTTTATTGAGCTTCATTTATTTGTTGATTGCTGTCCATACATCCACTTTAGGATGCTCCAAAAATACTGTAGGCAAGAAGAAATACTTGCAGACCAAATGACTCAACCTGTGGTTAAAATGCATCTCTTAATGTTGCTAACTCTTACAAACTGCCTTTTTAGCAGAGGAACCTCACCTCGTATTTGATATTTGCTGTAAGAAAGGCACATCTGTTCAAGCTTCTTCAGATCTGTGCACTAAGTGACTTTTCAAGGTGTAAATCTCATGCTGTCAAATAGTGCGTGAACACTGTATAAGCAGTAATTATGTAGAAATGCAGTGTTTTTAACAATCCTATTATTCATCAGTGTATCACACAGCATTGTCCTAAGGCCTGTATCAGTCAGTTGCTGTCATCAAGAGGGTGCCCGACAGGGTGATTGGATTTCCATGTTTCCCTTCCCATTCTGCTGCTGTGGGACCCTGGAAATGCTGATGGCCCTAGAACCTGATCTGTACTTGCTTCCTGAGGACAAAGGAATAAAAATAACCACCACAGAAAAAAGACAGGAAGGGAGGGAACAAGTAGAGAGAGCAGAAATCCTGTCCAGTTCAGGTAAGTCATTCAGGTATTTGGAGACAAGTGCTAATGCGGCTGGAGCCTCCCACATCACAAGAAGAAGAAGGAAAATAGCATTACAGAGTGAATCGTCTGAGCTTGTTTACTGTCGCCAGTCAGAAACTGTCAGATGCAGCAGAGAGAGAAGACATTGTGTTTGTTTGTGTACGTGTGTGATGGATGGCATGTGTCTCCAGCTGGGGCTACTGTCTCCCAGTCACCCTAACAGGAGCGGTAGGAGGACAAGGCTAGGCTGGATAACATGGGTAACTGTACATATCTATTCCAACCTGTTCATGTGTTTCCTTTCTGTTCATCTCTTTGGTTTACTTGCATCAGCTTAATAGACGTGTCAAATTGATTGTGATGCAGTAAACATAGAGTCAGCTTATCATTGTCATATGTAGATCATTGTCTGATCTATTATGCACAAAACCTAGCCAGTGGTTAAAAAAATGTATTACAAAAATTAGGACATTTGCTTTTGGTCATTTTTTTCTTTGTTGTAACAATGGCAATAAATCTTATACCTAAATGGTAAATAGTGCTTTTCTACTTTTTCTGAGCGCTCCAAGCATTCATGGGTTGAGCAGCGCAATTGAGTATGTGGGTTATACCCATGAAAAATCTCCCAAATCTTGTGTTCTGGTGCCAAACAGCTCATTCTGCTATTGACTCTTGCTTGGTGTTGTTCATTTGATTGGAAGATTGAGGTTCGAAGAGACAAGAAACACTGGTACTTTAAGAGCTTTTGTCATAAGAGAGAAATGCTGGTTGAAGAATGGGATAGCGGTGTGTAACCAAGCCAGAGCAAGACATGGCAGGCTGTTGGAGCCGTGCATGGTTCTTTCTCATGCTGCTGAGGACCTTATTCATTTAAAGCATTTTCCTTACAAGCCTGGCACTATTTAAGAGGAAATAAACAGGCTTTCCACTGGTATAAGATTTATTGTGAAGAAGCATTGTTACAACAAAGAAATTGACCAAACATAAATTTCATTAGAAGTTTATTTGATAATGCTGTAATGCTGTGTTTTAGCATCGCATAGTTTTATTTAGCCTTACCTGAGACAGGTCATCAGCAAAAGCTCTCCTTGGACCACTGTCTTAGACAAGAACTGGGATTCTCCAGGTATAGCCTTGTACCTACTGCCATAGCTTCGACATGGTAGCAGAACAGGAAAGGAGACAACATGTGTGTCTCTTTTCCATTCCTGAAAAGAACTTTTGATTCGTTGTCCTTGGAGTATTCTGTATGTCATCCCTTTGTAGGCCTGGCTGCTTTCTCATGGTTATAATGCTGATGTGTAGAGGGAACAGTTTTCCTGCGTGGTTAGTGGAGGACCCTGTCTTGCAAAAACTAGCAGAGTGGTCCCAGAGGTAACAATCAGTCAGCTCTTTCTGTTAAAGAATATCTTGCCTAGGACAGATAGTGGTGCTCTTTTGTTGATAGCCTTTCTTTGGCAGCTTAATGAGATTACTACCTTTCTATTCTTAAGCAGAGACCTACTCGATTATACTCGATTGATGAATAAACTACAAAACCAAATCACCAAAAAAAAACACCAAACATGTCCAAATATGGTTACTTTTGTCTCAAAAAAGAAAGCAAAAGTGATAATGCTGAAGCTTCAGAAACCAGTGGGTGACTATATAGTGGTTATGTCTATCATCTGGAGTCCCAGAGCAATAGCAATAGCTTTGTAACTCTTTCCATACTGATGCCAGTGACTTTGTTTCTTAGATGTTCTTGAGTTTCTTTAGGTCGCGACATGAAGTGTTGCCTCCACCCCCCCCACCACCAGCAGAGTCCAGCTAAAAGATAAAACACATTTACTTCAACGCTTCTCCATTTATGAAATGCACTGTCAGAGCAACTTCCTGGGTCATTTTAACTGAAGTGCAAAAAGCACCAGTCCCATAAAATGCAGCCAACAGATCAGCATTAGATGATGGCGTTCCCCGTCCACCCCCACCAGCCCTACTCTCAACACTGAACTGACATAACCTACTTAACATTACCCTCCCACTCCCTGTCTCTCTGCTCATCCACGCTAACTGATTTAGCTCAGACTCAGACTTTCCGTCTTCAAAGGCAGTGGGTGTATTAAAATATCTTAATACCAGGGTGTATCTGACCTGCAATCATATGGGGATGCACTTTGTAAATGTAAGCTCTCTTTCGGGGTTGCAATGGTTGGAGAGAGGGGTACTGTTATTTCCATAGAATCAGTCTCGTCTTACATCATTTAAGATTCTTGCAACACTTGAAGGAAGCTCATGAATTATACATACTTTTCCTTTCTTTTATACTTTTAGTGTCTTAGTGTTTGGTCTCTCTCTGAAGTGGGTGGTAAATGATATAAAGTGAGCGCACTTTAGAGCGCACAGATGGATGCATTTGTCATTTGGTTTATCGTGAGATTAGACCCACTGCAGAGACCCATGGTGGCACTTCTCTCCATAACTGTACTCAGCAAGGCAGATTAGCATCTCATTAAAATGAATTGGTCTAAACATCTGTCATTTCCTTCATCCCTTTATCTTGTTGTTTTCTCTGCTGGAATTGTTTCTGTTGTTTTGTTTCCAGTCAGTTGCATAAGCACTGAGAGTGATGCAGCATTTTGTGTGTCGTTGTGGAAAATTCTGACAGCCTGACAAAAAAAAAAGCTTTTATGCAACAGAAGTGTAACTGTACATACAAAACTCATAAATCTGTGTAAACCTATGTTTCAGTAGACCTTGTCTTTATTTAAGTGTCCAGTTTAAGCACAGTGCTGCCTCCTGACTAATGCTTTAAACGTGGCAGCACTACTAAATTCTTTTTCCTTTGAATCCATAAGATCAATAATTATTTTGTTTCCACAGACTAACTATTTGATCAGCTTTTGTTTACTGCAACAAGACTGGGTCATATCATACTACACTATACAATGAAGAATTATCTGTTTGCCCAACCACCGAGGATGCCGCCTCAAACTACTGGTTGTTTATTTGAAACTGATCTGTCTCAAAGTGCGATAAAGAAAAGAAAACACTGAAAGAACTTGTATAAAGTATAATGTATAAAGAAGTGAGAGGTGGCTCAAGACTTTTGCACTGATCAGGACTGAGGTTAGAACTACCATCTACAGCCACACACAGCTGCTCAGCTGTTAACTCTTGTCATTTCTCAGCTGTTGTAGCATCAAGTGCTTGTGATATACAGATAATTTGTAAATTAATTCAACATTTTCTTAACCACATGCTCTAAACGTAGTAAATCCTTCTTCATTTCTATCCTCAGAAAAACAAAACTTATTTAACATAAGCTTTTTGACTTTAATAATTTAGTAGGAAACGGCTTGGATATCCTTACAATCCTCTTCCTATTGCTTTGGCATGTAAGGAAAGTCAAACATGGGTGCTATATGTTAAAGCAGATGAACGATGGGAGGCTTTACACTCCCCTCCATTTCCAGGATCATGAGGACAGAGTATTGATCTGAGCACGCTGTCGGCCTCACTGAAAGCGGAGCTTTAGCAAACACTGTTGAAATGAAGCAGGCCTAAACGCGCATGCATCATTACGTTTCTCTCACCGTGTTCTTTTTGTTTACGAACACCTATTAACTCTTCACATCTGTGTGTGTGTGTCCAGGTACTGAAGCCAGTGGTCAGTCCTGAAGTCAACCATGGACTGGGCAACAGAAGACTTATTAACTTTAACCTGTCAGGTAGGCTGCTTCACTTCAGCTACAGGACAGTGACTTGTGTGTAACTTTACTAATGTGTATATCCAAACTATAGTAAAAATTTAAGTTCAGCTTCACAAATCTGACATCTGGCTTCCTCTGCATTCCTGTGCCGTTTAACAAAACAGAAGATACACAGAACAGCTCGTCGTGAGAAAACAGTTTTACCAACTGCAGACACTCCACAGTTGCCTGTGAAGGTTAATAGACGGTTTAAATAAGCCGCTGCTACACCCTGAAGGTTTTGCTGGGAAAAGTCAGCCAGTGCTCAGCTGCGGAGAGAGAACAGCATGGTTGCACATCCCTGTGGCTCATCCTCTGGAGTGAGTACATGCAAAGTAATATCGATATAATCCAGGCAATTTGGAATAACTGGTTATGTTAATCCGAAGCATTTTGTTCATCACCAAGTTAACAGCTTTCTCAGCTAACGCCATTATGTTCTTGTGACAGTTCTGACAGAGGCTCATGCAGTACGTTAGGAACAATGTTTTTATGGAGGCTTTACAATTTCTAACAGTAAGTGACAGTCGTGCAGCAGTATGCAACGCATGCATTACTTCAGTCTTCAGCCACTGGAGCCAGTACAGTATCTCAGTATTTTCCAGAAAGCGGATTCAAAGTACTTGAAATGATACATTAAATCATTAAAAGATGTCATAAGACAGTCGTAGGAAGTCTGTCTGTGTCGCTGTTACAGTGCTCAGCACACTATATGACGTTCTTTCAGCACTAGTTTCTAGGATGATTTGAACTGGAATTACTGGACACTGCATCAGCCTAATAAAAGCTGCATTTTCACTGCACTCGTTTGCCTTTGGGTCCTCAATACTCCCACACTTGTTTTAGACCTGATGTTTCTAAACACTTATTGCCATCTCCAGGATTTCCAAGCTGAAGTTGGCTGAGAGCAGAAAGCTGTTTACTTGGTGTTCAGGATTAGTCACTAAGCTAACATGAATGTTAGCCTGTTGTTATTAGAAAATGGTAAGATTAACTTCAAAGTGTTCTTCCACATTATCTAGATTATATCTATATTCAGAAATACACATTACTTAGCATATACTGACTTCAGAGGATGAGCCACAGCATGTCTCTGTGCTCTCCATCTGCAGCTGAGCACTGCCTGATTTTTCTCTGCAGGGGAACCTCCAGGTTATGTAAATCATATATTACCTTCAAAGGCTGTGCAGTGTCTGTAACTGGAATGTCTGTTTTATTAGAAAGAAAAAATGGAATACAGAGAAAGCCCAGATATTCCAGTTTTCCACCACGGTTACATTTGTGAGTCTGTGCAAACCCCCAGGTGAGCCCGTGACCTTACGTTGATGTGTTAATGGTCTCGTGTCGAGGCAGTCTGGACTTGTTGTAGTGATTTCTCTGCTGCCTATTTGATGTTATTTTAATTTGGGGTAACTCAGATGTGTCAGCCCTCACTCCTTTCTGCGGTTATGTAATTCATGTTTTTCCCCCCTTTGTAGTTTAAGACCAGACTGGGCAGCCTGCTGTTTTATTTTTTCCAGAGTAAAACCTTTATTTGTGCTGGTGCTATAGAGGGGAAGTCTCCCAGCCGTCCATTTGTGCTGATTTTTAATTCTTAGAATGTTTTTAAACAATGTGTTTTATGCTCTGTCACACATCGAGTGTAAGCGCACTGTTGGGATTTAGCTAAAGAATAAATGTGGAAAAAGCCTCACTGTGGACTGCTGTGATGTAATTGTGCTGACGTGTAGATCAGTAAGGCTGAGGGTGGGCTAAAGCTGTGAGTGTTTCCAGGAGCACAGCAGGGATCAGAAACTGAACATGATCTCTTTATTCAGAGTAGTTTGTATATCTGTGGTTTTGTCTGGTGAGAATCTTTCTAAACGTATTACCTCTAAAAATACTTAGTCTAAACAAGCTGTAGCTTTAACTAAATGAACATCGGAATCATAGACTAATAGAAACCAGACACACGTGTGTCTTCCCAATTTTACAAAACTGTGTGTGTGAATCTTCAGACCTCCAGGCAGTGGGACTGAAAAAGGGGATGTTCTTCAATCCAGACCCGTACCTGAAGCTGTCCATTCAGCCCGGAAAGCACAGCATCTTCCCGTCTCTGCCACACCACGGCCAGGAGAAACGTTCCGGAGTGGTCTGCAACACTGTCAACCCTAAGTGGAGCACAGAGGCAAGCCTTCGCAATTTCTCTCCTGTGTGTTGCTTGCATGCCATCTTTAGACTCTCAGAGTGTTTAAATGACAGTATCAGTATCCATCCTTGGCCTTTCCTGCAAAATGCAGGCTTAAAGCTGGAAACCTAAAGTCAATCACATGTTTTGAGTAAGTTTGACTTAACCAGGAGGAAATGTGCATTCTTTAAACAGTACACTACTTCTATCACCTCTGGCTTTAAAAGCAGCGATTAAACAGCATATTCGTAGATACGTTTTGTTGGGAGCATTTCAAAGATGGAAACACCATCACCTGATCTACAGTCTAATCTTCAAAGATTTACTTCATAGAGATATTTTCGCTTGTTTTTATATTCCATTCTTTTTAGCTTTCACATGTCTCCATGTTTGATGGTATTCTCATCTAATGAATGCTGGCATAAAGGCATTGTTTCCTATTTAGACCAGATTGTGGTGGTTCATGCACAAGTACATGCTGTTTGTGTTTGTGATACAGACCAACTCTCCTTAGAGAATGTCTGCGTTAAACTTAAGCTTAGCCGCCAATACAGTGCATAACAGCAACAAGTGTTTTCTAGTGCCATGCTGTGAAAGATGGAAACTATTCTGTCCCCTGCGTGCGTGGTTCTGGTACACGAAGTGACAGATAGCTAAACATATGCCGTAAGCACTGAAAGCGTTGAATGATGAGTCAGGCGTGAAAGTAAAGTTGAGGGCTGTTTACTTGTTTGTCTTCATCAACGTACAACTTACAGTGATTTCCCAGAACTTGTGAAACTACAAAAAATACAAAAAGAAATATGCTCAATAAAGAATTATGCATTTGCTTCACATGGCAAACAGATCTAGGCATTTATATATACATCTCTCCAAATATGCATAAAATCAATAAAATATACAACACTCACTACTTATAAAGATGAAACACAATTCAAACTTACAAACAAAGCTTCTCCATGGCATAACACAGGTGGATGCTTAAGGATTAAACAGGGAGACTTCTGGTACGCCTCATTGTGCAAATCCCAATACTAAAATGGCTTCCTGCATTACCCCACTCATGTGACTCTAAACATCCAATAGGAAACTCTTCCTGTATCACCCCACTCATGTGACTCTAAACATCCAATAGGAATACAAGCCAAACCACATAAAAATTCACTTGACCGCAGTCTCCAAGCTAACCACTAGGAGATGCTAAAATTCTCAATGTGCACATAACATTACAGAAACAGCTTTCATTAAAGGCATGTAACGATCCCTTGTTTATTTGTGCTGCTATAGATTGGTGGTCTAATCAGGATATAGCCTGCCTCTTGCTGTATGACAGCTGGGATGGCCTTCAGCCTCCCTGACATCTTAAAATGGATGCTGCTAAACAGAAGGACCATTCAAAACAAATTGAGGACCTTATTCCTAAACACGGACCAGAAAACTGCACTAATTGTGTACAAATTATGCAGGAAACCGTCCCCACCACAGACTCAAACATGACAAACCTCTCATACCACCTATGCAAGAGTCAAGTGAAAGAATATAGAGATAGTTTACGGATGTGACGCAAAAGAGAGCCGTCAGATGCTCCAAATAAACCTTAGACTTAAACGTTAGAACAGGCTTTTCGCAGCACACCGTGTGATAAATACAAAGAAAACACATCTAAAAATATATAGTTTCATGCATCGGTCAAAACACTCAACTCCAGGTACACGACGCTCAGCGGAAAACACTTCACACAAGTCAAGTTGCCAGAGATTCACAGAATTTACAGAAAATTGACTATTTTGTGAATTATATTGTTATTGGCTGAGAAATGTTTTATATCGGGATATGAGATTTTGGTCACATCGCACAGCTCTATCATATCGGTGTATTTATGTTCCCAGCAGGTGCCCGAGGTCTTGTGACCAGGGCTTGCAGGCCAGCACACTAGATTAAAGAAACCGTGACAGAGCCTTTGTTTCTGTGGCTCCCAGACTCTGGAACTGTCTCCCGTTGAGTTTGAGATCTGCAGACTCTGTCAGTTCTTTTAAAAAGCTCATCTTTTTAAACGTTTTTTTTATGTTCTAGCTTCTGTGAAGCACTTTGTGATTTTATCTTGAAAGGTGTTACATAAATGCAATTTCACTTACTTATTTATAATTCATCCACACACACATTCACACACTGGTGGAGGCAGCTACAGTTGTAGCCACAGCTGCCCTGGGGCAGACTGACAGAAGCGAAGCTGCCATATCGCACCATCGGCCATCACCAGTAGTAGGCGGTAGGTGAAGTGTCTTGCCCAAGGACACAACGACCGAGACTGTCCGAGCTGGGGCTCTGACCGGCAACCTTCCTGTTACAAGACGAACTGCCAACTCTTTGAGCCACGAAAATTTAGCATTACTGTAGTGATAATAGGAACTGTGAAGCTTACACATTCCTTCCAGTGACAAAATGTCAGAATGTTATACCGTTTCCACATGATGTTATTTTTTGCTTTAACTTGTTATTAATGGATTTATGAACAAGGCTACTGTGTGTAACCCCAGAGGAGTATTAGAGCTACAGAGAAGCTGTTTGACCACAAGGAGACACAAAGTGCCTCAAGAACTGATACAAAGGCACCCAAATTACAAAAACAAATAAAAAAAGGATTGTGCAATTGTAAAAACAGGCAAACATACAAGGGAAATATGACCAGAAACCGCAGAAGGCAGTGAAGAAAAATGTATGCAGTTAAATGCAGAACGACTGCAAATAAGCAAAAAACAAAACAGGAACTGGATGGAAGTAAAAATAGATTTTAAATGAACACAAATGGATGCGAATGGGATGTTCAGAATGTCTGCAGAAAGACACGAAATCATCATTACTGGATGGCATATAACACGAAAGACAATAAAATCATTAAAAAAACAGTGAAAAGAGACAGAAAACCAGTATGAGAAGAGTCAAGTCTGTACAATCAGAAGCAAAATGATTCTGAAAAAGCTCAAAGGTTTGAATCACACTGACTTCACGTAATCATTTCTTCTTTTTTGTGGGAGAAACTATTTCCAAACATGCACTAAGTTTAGTCAACCTGCTATTTTCAGATAACTAAATGCTTCTGGTCTTATTTTCAGTGATGTTTGAAGAAATGTAGCCTGAAAATCTGTTAGTTTGGTTGAATCATGACGGGTAATACAATAATAATACAATGAGCAAAATTTAAGTTATTCAAGCAAATTCACTGTCTGGATGGTGTACCACAAAAAAGTCAGGAAAATAAATTCTATTAATCATTAATATTATTAATGACTTGTGGCTATGTGGTTAACACATCCACCTTATACATAGAAGATCCTAAGTAAGGAGACGAACCCAGTGTCATGGGGTCAAGTGAGGCTAATGTCTCAAGGTTAGCATCAGGAAGGGCGTCTGGTCTAGAATCTGCACCAACTCAAAGCTGTGGATACATCCACTGTGATGACCTCTTAAAGAAGCAGTTGAAAGTACCAATGTTAAATATAAAATGGTAAAGGGCCTGTATTTGTACAGCGCTTTACTTAGTCCCTAAGGACCCCAAAGCGCTTTACACTACATTCAGTCATCCACCCATTCACACATACTGGTGGTGGCAGCTACACTGCAGCTGCCAATGTTAATAATAAACATTTTAGTTCTCTGAAAATCATCCAAAAGGCCCCAAATCAAAAACATGGTGAAGTCCAGCACCTGAATTAGCAAAGGTGAAGCATGGCCAATACCAGCTGGCTCCAACTGTCACATGACACTGTGTGGCAGGCAGAAGGTGAAACCCAATACAGGACTCTCAAGACGAGAGTTTAACTCTGACTAGACAGAAACCAGGAACTGACTGTGTGACTAATAAGCTGGAAGCAGCTACAGTTATACAGCTCACACAGGGCACACAGCAAGCAGGACGACACAACAAAACAAAAACAGAAGCAAACTGAGGGTTTAAATAAAGATTAGGCCAGAGTGGAGAAACTTGGGGAACACAGCTGAAAATTCTCTTCATTCCCCAAATTGTCGTATTATATAATTTCTCTTATTGTTGAAACAACAGAAGCATTTACAAAGCAAAATGTCCTGCTGCGCCCCGTACAGCACCAGAAAGGATAGTTAGGGTGAAATCAGTGTAATCCATGAAAATCGTGTTTGCTTTGTGAAAAGCAAAAGCACCTAATTATTGTAGACTTGCTGGAAATTACTCTACAATCTGTTGTGGACAAAGCAAATGAGCGGCATAGTAGGAAAACAGAACACAAAAAATGTAAAAAACAAAATATGACGTTAATGTTAAAAGAGTCCGCTACATTTAATTTCCCCACTCGTGCAAAATATATTATGTTAAATCTGTTTGTTTGTTTTTTAGATTCATTCCTTTGTTTTTGTATCCAGACATCACAAGCAGGGAGTAGCTCTAACAGAGGAACTGATTATATGCCCTTGTTACGACCCGGCTCAAAAGCCACAACATAAAAAAGGAGACGAATACCAGAGTGTCGGTGAGCAGAGGTTTTATCTTAAAATGGAAAACCAGGTTGGCTAAAATGGTTGGTGCCACCGAGGCAAAGACAAGCGAGCTCTCTGGGAAGCTTGCCTCAGGTATGCTTTTATCCACACCTGACTAGGTGTGGATAAATGAGGTAGCCAGATATTTGACATGGTTTAGGGACTGCATTGTGAACAATACAAAATGTGAATAAGCAGTAACCATTGTTTCAATAGGAGATTATAAATGAGGTGATGCCAATCAGCACTGTTCTGTGCTTAAGCTTCTACATGATCTGGAATAGAACAGGCATAACTATGCTGTGACCCTGTGATTTGTGCACAAGCTCCACTGATCGCAGGATGTGCTGTGGCACAGTCTCTATCTTTATTATGTCCCTCAGGAGACTCATACAGAGATTTAATGTGGTGTCCCAGTTGACAGCATCCACTCAGCTCTAAGTCACTTTCCTTTTTCCAAACTGATCCCATTTTGAGCGAGCTGCTCAGCT